CTGCCGCCGCCGCCTCCGCCGCCACTATCTCCGGCCCCCTCCCCCTCCCGCTGTCACTGACAGACGCGCGCCCGCGCCCCCCTTCTCCCCGCCGCAGCGCGCACGCGCGACCCGCGCACGCCACCGCCGGGTCTCTGGCACGCGCACCGTACCTTGGAGCGCGCGCCGAACTCGGGACTGCGGCGGGGCGGGGCGGGGCGGAACGGGGCGGGCGCACTCGGCTCCGCCCTCCGCCCAGGGCGGCCTGCTGTGTGCCGTGGGTACCTGAGACTACTTACTCTGCTCCGCGCCCCTCAGGTCCCCACAGGAAGCTGCTGAGCGCAGGGTACCTTTTCGATACATCGGAGCTTTCAGACACTGGATCTGCCTTCTGCGAGCAATGAATGCGTGCCCCCAGTGGTCCTAGGCCCTCCTGAACCTGGGGCAACGGTGGAGTGCCAAGGAGAACCACCTCCTACAACCCCAGGGATACTTTGTCTTCCCATCTCTGGTCACCTCTCACCTTCCTCATGAACAGCTGTTTTCCCTTTCCACAAAGGCAACTTTTCAAAAGAAGTAGGCAGTCCACGAACAGTTTACACTGGTCTCTGTAAACTCTGCCCCATGTAAGTAATCCTATATTTCCCAGGGTCACCCTGACCCCAAACAGTACAGTGCCCTCTGTCTATGCATGGGTCTCTTCCATGCCCCCCCTCCAGCTACTAGGCCTATCCCAGGAGCCCACACCAGATCGCGCTGTGGAATTAGAAAACCAGAAAAGTAAAATGTGGGCCACCTATACAATGAAATATTATTCCGCTATAAAAAAGTAATGAAGTGCACATGATACAGAATGGACTGTTTCAGAACATGCTGAATGAAAGAAGCTACACAAAAGGTCACATGATGCATGATTCTGTTAATATGAAATGCTCAGAACAGGCAACTCCATAGAGAAAACACAGGCTGATGGATGCTAGGGACTGGGAGAACTGGGAACAGTCTGAGGAGCCTAGGGTTTCCTCCAGGGTGATGAAAAAGTCTGGAAGTAGATGTAGCACAATATTGTGCATTCCATAGTGGTTACACAATATTATGAATGTGCTAGTGCCTTTGAATCACACGCTTTAAAATAGTTTAAATGGCACAGCAAACTATACTGGGGCAGTAGTGGCACTTTTATCTTAGAGGTAATCAACAGCTACCTAATTGGACTTAAAGCCCACTCAATGGGAGGGAACTCGTGTGGTACTGCAAACCTAGCCAAACACACATGGCTGGAGAGGTCATAGATCTTAGAAAAAAATCCAAGGCTGTCACATCCCTAGACAAATGTAACTTCTTTGTAGATGTAAATATGGATCCTTGTATAGACTTATAGACAAGTATGCTGGTCACCACACATCAAAGAAGATTCCTTTGTAACAGATGGAGACTATTACAGAGTTCCACAATTGGTCGCACACAGAGATTAAGTGTCTGTGAAATGCCCAACCCTAAGTGATACATCTACCATGGAACCTCTACCCCTAAGGCTTACAGAACCTAGTGAAACAAGGGGTAGAGAGACTATTAATGCATCTCCTCAACTCTTGTCGACAAAGCTCCCTCATGCAACAGAGGGCAATGAACACAAATGGCCAAAGCATAGAGAATAAAAGTGTGGGTCCTTGGCCAGGACTCCCATATTAAACTCCACCCACCCAGAGCTCAGGGATCATTGCAAAAGAAGGGGTAGAAAGATTGTAAGAGCCACAGGAGGAGGTGCATGACCACATGTATACAGAGTCTTTACAGGCTCCTGGGACCTTGCACATATGAATTTACAGTAACGGTGACAGCATGCACAAGATCCATGCAAACATAAGCAGACAAAAACCCAGCATTAGAACTGTGGAAATGGGCAGCAGGCCCCCAAACTTAGACAAAGAGCTATTGGGAAGCTGATTACTGCTGAGTGAGGAAGAGCTGATCTTTAAGGGAGTGACTCTAGATAGGCTGACTAGACCTCAGTGGATGAGCTTGCACTGAAGGACATGAGGGGACACTAACTTGACTTGATAGGCCTTAACATAAATGACAGAATACATGAAATCTTGGGGGGAGAGGCAATGGAGAACAAGGTATAAAGATGATTAAGGTGTTGTGTATGCAGTGGGAGGAAGATCATCCCACACCTATCACCCCCTCCAAGGCTCAGGGACTTTTGCGGAAGAGGTTGGCAGAAAGAATGTAAGGACCAGAGGAAGGGGTGGAGTGTTAACTGGAAGTGTCCTCTGGCCACTATGCAAGCAAGCTATAGTCACACCTCCTTCCCATGCTTGTCAAGGAGTCATGAGGGAGTCAGTGACCCCTCCCACCCAATCAGTCAACCTTAGCTGCAGGTGGGGGCGGGCTAAGGATATATGAGCCCAGACACCATGCACATCTCTCTCGCCATTTTGTGTGGCTGTTGGGAAGTCACAGAATCTATATTTGAATGTGGACTTTCCAGTGAAGCTGTAAATGGGGGGCGAGCACCCATTCTTCTGTAAATAAATCCCCATCCTGTGCTCTGTTAGCAAGCCCAACAAACTTGTTAGGATTTTTTTAAAAAAGAACAGAGCTAATGGAAACCTTCATTATTTCACCAAAGTTGGCCCATATTGGCAAATCCTTTGGTCTTTGCTTTTTTATTCCTATTTTCCCCCTTAAATATCACTGTATATGGTGAGATATATATATATATATCTGGGACTACAGGCCTTATCCCCAGCTGTCCTGGTTACATATATTTTTATGTAACCTGCTTCAAGTTATTTCTGGAAAAATGTGTTAAAAATTGACTCTCGCTGGGCGTGGTGGCGCACACCTTTAATCCCAGCACTCACAAGGCAGAGGCAGGCCGATTTCTGTGAGTTCTGGGGCTACAGGGAGACCCTGTCTCAAAAAGACCAAAAAAAAAATTGACTCTCTTTGGAATAATTAGAAAACTTTAAGAAAGTAAATCCCAAAAAAAAGATGTGTAAGAGACACACAAAAGTTCAATAAAAAAGAAAATACAAAAAAAATGGTTTAGATGGTACAGTTTATGTTGTGTGTATTGCACCACAATAAAGTAATAGGAACTTTTTAAAGGTAGTCTTGAAATGAATAATCTCCACCTAATCATGAGAAAACACCAGAGGAAGGAACTCAAATTGAGAAATACCTACAAAGGAATCACCTAGTTGTCTACTCTTCAACAGTGTCAGGATCACAAAACACAGAGACTAAGGAATTAGGAACAGTCACCTAGGGACTAAGTGAAACATGGGATCCTGATTTGGAACATGAATCAGGAAAAGACAGTAAGGAGAGAGGTGGTGAGATCTGCAGTTTAGTCAGTGGCATTCTGCTGCTGTTGGTTTTCTGGGTTTGATCCCTGTCCTGTGGTTACCTAAGACATTAACATTAGGGGAAGCTGAGTGCAGAACAGAGGGGAACTTCCTGGTATTTTTTCAATCTTTAAAATTATTGCAGAACAAACAAAAATAAAAATGAATGTGTATTGAGCATCAACTATATACCTCATGTATCTAAGGTTCAGAAAAGTAGGGTGCATGGCACAAGCTAGCAAAGTAATAATGGTAAGCTAACATTGACCTAAATGTTGCAAGTGTCAGAGACTAGTGGACACTTTTACTTGTGACATATTTGGTCCGGACCACAAGGTCTGAGATAGATATTACTGTCCTTCATTTGGAGATGTGAAACCAGGGATTGGAAAGTAACATGCCCAAAGTCCCACAAAGGGCAAGTCGCAAGTTCATATTTAAAAGCAGACCTCTAACTTCAGAAGCCATGACATTCTGAGCCTCACAGCAGTCTCGAATGGACCCTGCTTATCTCCCCCTCTCAATCCAGCTGGGTGGGAGACTCTAGGAGACAGAATTCACAACTTCCATTTGTCACCATTAATGGATCACAGCCCTCCTCACTTCCTGGTCCCCTTAAACAATCAAGAAACTCACCTCTCTGCACTTTTCCTTCCTTCCCCCAAATAATTTCAGTCTACCCATCATTTGTGGTAACTTTCAGATTTCTAAGTTTGCCATGTCAGCTTGTCAGACATGGGTAACAAGCATACCCTTGTCATTCCTTCTCTCTTAAAAGTGTTTCTGGAAGTAGATGGGCTGCATTCCCTGCTGTTGAGACTTCTGTTGAAACCTACAAGCTGCTAGAGATGTCCTGACCTCCAGGTTAGGGTGTCTCATTCCATAAACCCTCCTGGATTGAAGATATGGTGCCAGCACTGTACATTAGGCTCTGGAGTATAATGGTATGACATCCTAGTTTTTAAGAGGCCATGGAAGGACGATTGGGTTATGGAGGTTGGAATCAACTCTTCTTGGAAATAGACTGGATGTAAGGAAGAGTTCTACAGAAGATATTAACCACATTATTACGATGCCAAAACCCAAAGAGAAGCCACAAAAGGATGCTGATCTTTCTCCACCCGAACAAAGGTCTTGATGATACTCAGGATGTATGGGACAGACATAATAGCTTTCTCCAATCATCCAACTCAGGTTGCTGCCAAATCCACATGGCTTTCTCTCCATCTTACATGCATTCAGAATGCTCCTTCTGACATAGTATGAATCAGAATGTGTTTTCACAAATTCTACAAAAACTTATAGAAAGCTTTGCCTGACCCAGCCTCTAATCCTCATTCTCCCTCACTTGAAAGTTTTCCTACCCAAGGAGGACCTTGGTAGTAAGCCATCAGGAGTCTTGCAGGAGCTGGGGAGATAGCTCATTCAATAAAAAGCTTGCCACACAAGCATGCTTACATGATTTGGGATCCCAGCACCCATGTACAAAG